TTATAGAAATATAAACTCTTTCTAATTGTAAATAGTTAGTTAATTTATGTAATTATAGACTAAATAAAATAAAGTACGCCTTTTTGTGTTTAAAAAAAAAAAAAAAATTACTAAACTTCTAGTTATGTTTGTTATATTTAACTACCTGAGATTTTTTTTAAATCAACCCAGGTAACCTGACGTTGTCAGATTCAGGTGACCCTGGTGGTGCCTTTTTTTTGGACTGACCCATTTCACCCGGGTGGCACATTGTCTACCCAATGGGTAACCCAGGTAAAGATTTTTTAGATGGGTCAATTCACTAGTTGAAATGGAATTCAATATATTAGAATTTTAATTAGATTAAGGTTAGATATAGGGGTATTAGCTAAGATCAATTTATCTTTACTTTAGAGCATTTGTTCTATTTTATTATTTACATCACCATGTTCTAATCATTCCTAATTTTTACTAGGATATTAACATGCCTTACTAAGTTTGTTTGTTTATATTACAGATATAACAGTATCATTAAAAGGGTATTGCATAGTAATAGTAGTTTATGCAACTTGATGAAAACTTTGGATTTACAATTAGAAAAAGAGGCTGAGTGGAACCATTTTTATGAATATCAAACTATATCATTGTGTATTGGGATTGCATCTGTCGGTAGTAAAATATTACCTGCTGTTGACCATATACTTTCAGAGTATTTGACTCTACAGATTCTTTCCATTGAACATATAGAAATAGCTCAATGCTTGTACTTTGATGCAACATTGGCTAACTTAACATCAATTGAATTTAATGATGATAATGAAAGTATGGATGATCGATTTATTGAAGACATTTATGATACAAAGCAGATATTACTTAAATTAATAGTTTCAAAAATCAACCAAGTCAATATTAAGGAGACTTGGCAAATTACTAATAAATGGCCGGAGAACAATAAAAGAAAGCACTATATTATTGTTATTGACTCTGTTTCTTATATGTGTACATGCATGTCAAACTTATCTTGTGGCATTTTATGTAGACATTACTTTCAGGTAATGTTAGTATCATGTAGCATCACAGTGGTATTGTAATAGTAAGAAAGAAACAATTGACCAGAAAAATGTGATTTTCGCAAATTTGGATACCAGTAATGCTCAACAAGATCAAACAATAGCTTTGATTCCTCATTCTTTTAAGCATGGTAAAATCTGGGGGCTTGCATGACAAGCTATACAGCTTGCTGTTGAATATGATGATGATGAGATTGATCAATGGTTGAAAACCTTTATTAACCAAAAAAAGTGATAGTGATAGGGAAAATGTTTCTGTAGTTGCAAATTCTCCAATCACCAAGCATAGAGGCAAACCTGAAACTAAATGATACAAGGCTGCTACAGAAAAAGTCCTAGAAAAGGTTATGAAAAAAGTCACAGAAAAGTTCCAGAAAAAATCCCAGAAAAGACATGTTGTCAGCTATATATATGTTGTAGCTGTGGTAAAACTGGTCACAATAGTGTGAAATGCCCAAAGAAAGGTAGCTGACTTGTGTTTCATTTATGTTAGTGGTGGGTTATTGAAAGGTTTATAAGTTATTTGTTGTATGATTGTTATGCTATACTATTCAGAAATTGATTAACTTATATGACTAAAAGCAATTATAGCTTGTTAGAATAGATATGTGAAATTCGATAGTATATATGGTTAACAATATTTTCACATTTGACTTTTTTTTAACATTGTGAATGTATATACTATCATCATGTGTCTGTTCTAATTTACCTTAGATTATGTGTTACTTTGTTCCAAAATTCTGGGTCTACTACCGATTGATTTTGCTGAATTTTGACAATTTCTTTATAGGATTTTTCAATTTGGCAAAATATTTTTAATATATTATTATTATATTTATATATTATATTAATTATATAATACAGGTTTTGGCCACCAATTTCGGACAAATAAACAATCAAATTTGAACATTAAAGCAATCAAATTCAAACATTACAGCAATCAACTTTAGACATCATAGCGATCTATTTCGAACAACACACCAATCAAATTTGGATATTATAGCAATCAAATTTGAATATTAAAGCAATTAAATTTGGACTTTGGACATTAAAGCAATCAAATTTAGACACTATACAGTAATTATCAAATTGGACATTATAGCAATCAAATTTAGCCTTAAAAAGGATGACAGAAGGTATTAATCTATTATCAAAAAAGAAAAAACACTAGTGGACTATATAATATATAATATTGGAACTTACTAGATTCATGGAATTGGAGTTGAATATAAAAAAAATGTATTGAGATGGAAAATGCTAGTGGAACATATAATCTGAAAAACTTCTATCTTTATGGAATTTAAATTGAAAAGAATATTTATTTATTTTACAATGCAAAAAAAAAAAAAAATAGCCAAAATGGGCAATGCCAGTGGAACATATAATCTTGGAAATTGCTAACTTAGTGGGAATTGGAATTGAATAAAGACATTTATTTATTTTACAATACAAAAATAAAAAAAATAGCCGAAATAGATATACTAGTAGAATATATAATCTTGAAAATTGCTAACTTAGTAGAATTGAAATTGAAAAGGGCTAATATAAGACATTCATTAATTTTACAATACAAAGAATTTCAACTTAATAGATTCTCTGCTAAAATTTTTTGATAGCAAATAAATGCTTTATATCGTCCTTTTCAACTCCAATTTCGCAAAATAGCAATTTTCAAAATTATATATTCTACTGAAATTTTCAATTTAGCTGTTTTTTTTTTTTTTGCATTGTGAAAATGAATGTCTTATATTTATTGTTTCTTGCATTATAACAAATGAATGCTTATTTTTGTCATTTTCAATTTTAATTTCCATTAGATAGCAATTTCCAAGATTATATATTCTACTAGCATTTTCTATTCTGGCCTTTTTTTTTGTCATACAGTTATGCTAAAACTAGAACGTATATGAGTACATTCTAAAATTAAAAATTTCAGAAATAGAAATTATTTATATTATATTTTATAGTAACATTATAATAAATTAATTTCAAAGGGGTTAAAACTTTATTTTCTAGTAGAATTAAATTATATTGTTGTTTAATTTCACATATTTTCTTTATTTATTATTTTGCATTATCAATTTTTTTTATTACACTATTTTATTACTAGCTATAATTGTATTTATATCATTATATCATATATTGTTACTTTTTTATACCCAACTTCTATCATATAGCTGACAAAAGGTCAATTTAGATCACACACAAAATTATAATATAAAAATATGATCAGACTATCGAGTATATTAGTTAAAGCCTTTAAATTCTATAAATTCACATATAATCTGACTACAAAACAGGTTAAGATTTTATTAAGTACTAATGCTAATAGTTAGCCCATTAAATAAATTGTAAAATTGAAGATTCGAAGTATGATTTATCCTCTCATTTATAATAGTTTATCAATTCAATATAACAATTTTATTATTTATTTAATTTATTTCATTATTTATTTAATAATATAATATATTATACCATATTTAAGATTGTTTCTTATGTAATATTTTTGATAGGATTTTTGAAATCTGTGTTAAAGCTGTATTGATATCTAAAAGATGTATATAATAATATGGAAGGCCAAAATAGTATGGTAATGGGTGTAGAATACATACTTATTTAAAAACTATATATATTATACCAATCCCAATTACTATGCCAAGATCATGGTGATTATTCATATTTATTAAATATAATAATATATTGTATTAAAGCAAAGTATAATAGATTAATTTTCTAATTACTATTTATGTACAAATTTTTATACATTAATTTCTTGCATATTTAAGCATCAATCAAAATAAGTTGTAGTATGCCGAATCCATTTCAAACAATTTTCTGCAGATACTGCATTTTAATCTTCTCTAAGATTGTATCATGATCTTTTAGATTATTTTGTACTACTAAATCTTTTACTTTAGAAAATGTATTTTCTATTGGATTCAAAATGGACTATAGGAAGGAAGGTAAAGAATTTTATGATTCGGATTGTTAACTATACTTTGTACAACTTAATTTTGCTTATGAAACTACTTTGAAGATTTAACAAAAAATAATCTACACAAAATTTTAGTATAAAATACTCTCTAACCCTAACCCTAATCCTCTAACTTCTAACTCTAACCCTAACCCTAAAATTAAGTAGATTTTTTTATAAATTTATTTGTTACACAGATTTGCAAATCAATAAATTAATACCTCGTATGTACACACTAGTGTAGTCTTAGTTATTTTCTTAATAAAATATGTATTTTTTAATACAGTACTATAAAAATTATAATACATCTTAAAAATTTTAATTTACTTTTAAATTCAAATATTTATAAATTAACTTTTGAGTTAAGTCAGCAATAGAGATCCATGGCTCTTTATCAACACATTCACTTAAAAAATTTTTATGATCCTTATTTAAAATTGAGCGCTTATCACTACCTTTTTGTTTAAAGATAATTCTGTTTCTTCATTAAATCTTTTTACAATATTATGTACAGTTGAATGTGATAGATGAAACTTTATAGCAACTTTTTGAATAGAATTACCCTTGTTATTAACTTCATTGATCATTTTTTTTCTTTATTATTTTTAGAAAACTTTGCCATAGTGAATTTGATACATAGTTTATTATTTATAAAAAACCAATGTAAGATTAGTTTTAATATCATTTAGCTTTTTATAATTATAAATTATTGACAGACTTTAAATACTTACTGACCTCATGTTATTTAAAAAAAATTTAAATAATTTTTATTATATTATTATTAGAGAGCTATCATTTATTACGTATTTATAGCTCCCTCCAGAGTTAGTCATTTGACAATTACAAGTTTTAAAGTAATTATAATATAAACCAGTTTGCAATTGTCAAACGATTGATTACACAGGTTAAGTATACAAATATCAGGTTACTATAAGATATTCTGATATTTACTAATAGTAGCCTAATAGTTATCAATATTCATCTTTTAAAGGCCTGATATGCTTCAGATTTTTGGCGCAGGAAGTTAGTTATCAGGATGCTTTTAGGCTAATAAATATATAATAAATATCAGGCATATATAAGCAAAATTAATATATACCTGATATACTTCTTAAATATATTTAAAGTATTTATATTGATAAAGTAAATATCAGGCATATATAAGCAAAATTAATATATACCCGATATGCATCTTATCAATATAAATACTTTAAATATATTTAATATCGATAAGAAGCATATCAGGTATATATTAATTTCGCTTATATATGCCCAATATGCTTTTTATCGATATTAAATATATTTAAAGTATTTATATTAATAAGATGTATATTGGGTATAATTTAAAAAAGATTTGTAAATCTGATATTTACTTATAGTGCTATAATAATAACCCGATATATTTCAAACTTTA